TCTTTGTCGTCTTAAGAAGTGTGGCTATCGGTAAAAATAATTAATTATAAAAGATTTATAAAATTTGGATGTGTTTTACTTCTCTTTGAAAATGTTGTTAAAATATACAATGGCAGGATAAAATAATAACATAAAATTAATATTAAGTTTTTATTCTTCATAGAAAGCTTCTTAAGAACTTTTTTGTTACAACGATTTAATGATTTGATAAGTTAATAACAAAAATGACGCAATGCTTAAGTGAACAAAACAAAAAATATAACAAAACAAAAGTACAAAAACGAAGATTTTATATGATATTGATATGATATTGTTTGGTAGGATCATGCAATGGATTTAAGCTATTATCACATAGTATAATTTAATGCAACTTGTTTTGAAAGCTAGTAGAACACACATTTTATATTAACTATTTATGTACAGTAAATGCTAGGAAGTACAATAACAACTTACCTTGAAACTTTGTCGCGCTATATCATTACCCTCCACGAATTGTGCCAAACTACAGTATCTCGGAGGCTCACGCATTTTCTGATCATCACAACGGTTATCAATTTCGAAAACAATGTTCTCAAAACCGAATTGCTGTGGATTTTCATCGCTATCCATACGATCAAGCCTCGGCATATGCGGTGGAGAAGAATTTCTTCTACGATGCGACATCGAAAGCGATTTTCTTCGTAATTGCAACTGTTGCTGTTGTAATGCTTTTTGTTGCTGTTGCTGTTGCTTAGCTTCGGAAGGTGCATGAGTCTCAGAGCAAAGTGTAGTAGTATCATCAGTAATTGTATTATCCTGTAAAGCATATGTAATATCATGTCCAAGAACTGAACTAATATCATCCATAAGACTTTCTCCAGGCATAGCTTCCGTTTCATCGCTTGTTTCTGGCGAATCGATGTGTGTAAAGGTATTGCTATCGACACCCTTTAAAGATAACAAACATTAAAAAAATTAAATTTTTTTTAACAAATACTTGACTAACATGTATGATGTCAGTGATTTGTAATGCATGTTGATGCTCTACTTCAGTATTTTTATCGAATATCTCTGAAGCTACACTACACTCTTCATTACTTATGGCAGATAACACATCACTTGCTTCACCTTGCATATCGTCAGACGATGACTGTTCCTAAAAGTAAATAAAAAATGGAAAAAAATATGTTAAGCACTTTGTACCGTTTAGTCAATGCACACTAAACAGACGTACAGTTAGCATATCTGTGTCAACGATTGTAATGGTTTCACTTGTGTAAACATTTGGGGCTTTGGGATAAACAACTATGTTGGGTACCTGTAGTTGACAAGTGTGCACTAATTTTTCAGGTTTCTCCTCAGTGCATTGCTTCTCTGCAATACTATCAGTACCCACGTCAGCTGAATCATCCTCAGTTGTAGCTGCAGCATTGTCAGCCAATTTCTTCTCTTTATCCAATTCTCGACTCATATAATAGTTACGCTCAAATACTTCAATTGGTCTGAAGTCGGACAATGGATCCACTATGTGGTCACTCGTAATTATAGGTACACTGAGAAAATCAATTTTGCGTTCGTTGATTATAGTCTCACTAGTGGGCGACAAACGATTACCGTCGTCATCAATGTTGGCACCGCCACTTAAGGACAAACGACCAACACGATAAGCTACAGTTTCAACTCCACCATTGCCGCACTCTTCAATTTCTTGTATCACTTCTGGTACACCAGAACTACGTCTGCTGTCAGCGAATTGACGTGGTACTGGTAAACTGATTGTATTGAAAAAATTTTCATCCACAGAATCACGTCTGGTGTCCGGCAGGGGTGATATACATGTCAGCCGTGAAGTCTCCATGGTTGGAGATATTATGTTAATAGGTGGTATAATTGGTAGTGGTGAAGTACAAGGTGTTGAGTCATTTGAAGTGGTGGTGGGTATTTTGAGCGCTTCAAATGGTGTTATAGAGAGTTTACGTTGATAACGCTTTGGTCGTCCGGGCTCTGAATGCTCTACTACGTTGTATATAGCGCGTTTAACGCTATTTGCGCGACACTGTAATGCATCCTTTTCATTAGAACGTAATGAACGACTATTCCGACGTTCTTTTGTATTCAGTTGATCTTTTTCATTCTTTTCAATTGATATGTTGGGATTTCTGTAAAATAAAGTTAAAATTAAATATACAAGTATATTGATATATAAGAAGCTTACAGTAAAGTAGGAGTGGTAGTGGGTGAAGGTGTCAGTGTTTCGGGCGCACTTCTAGCAATTATGCTGCTGATTGTCGAGAGTAAGTCATCACCAGTGTGTACACCAGTTTCTTCCTCCTTCAAAGCATCTAATAGCATGTGTAGCTTTTGTCTTAAAATATCACATTTCATTATTAATTGCTCGTCGTCTTTGCGATTCTCACAGATTTGTGACATTAGTTCATCAATTGTTTCACATAGTGTTTTAGTGGATGTAATTAAAGTTTGAATATCATCTGTTTCAACAATAGAGCGTAAATTTTGATTTGCAGAAGTAACCATTCCGGTTAGCAGTGCCTCTTGTGCACTAGAAAGTGACATTTTTGGAGTTTTTGGCTGCACTGCTATAGCTTTTTCGAAAACCATTATACTCCAACGATCTAACATTTTAGTGCTCGCTGATTCATAACGTTCTAATATTTGTGGCAAGTGGGCATCATCATCACATGAGGAGCCCCAACCAAGAACACGTGCCAAATCGTTACCAGTACCAAGTGGAAGTACAGCAACTTGACATTGTTTCTTAAAAAAAAAATCATTTTATGGTTATGTTAAATTATAAAAACTGCATTTACTTACATGCATACTAAAGCGATCAATTTCGCTTAAAACCCAACCGACCGAACCATCACCAGAGCACACTAATATTCGAAACATTTCGAAATGGCGAAATAGCCGCAAACCTAAACTGGGTCCAGTTGATATCAAATCAAAAACCTGCGCTGGATTGAGCAATTGTTTGAATCGGCGTAAAAACTTTACACCTTGATTGTCGCCTGATTTGGAGTTAACAAAAACCAGCAGTGGTGAAAAATTACCCTTTGGGCTGACAACATCCCATGCGTCATCGTTGCTGATTGAATGTATACTAGTCGGTGGTACAACTGATAGTTTTGCTGGCCCAATGGGACAGGAATCTGTCATTTGTGGTCTGCAGGCTACGTGCACAGTTGCGCGACACCATAAACAGCGCCAATCTTGCAGTCGTAGCACAGATCCACAAGTCTTTTTACAAATAACACAAGTTGCTGATACTGGTAGGTTGCCTTCCATCCATTGATGTGGCATTATAATGCTACCATCACGATCTTCTATAATGTCTTTGCCTACGGTAGCCAAAGTTGTCCATTTGCAATTGGCAATTGCTTTGGCAGCACATCGTTTGTGTACTTTACACTTGCACACTTCACAGGACAGGCCGTGTGAAGTGACACCTGACAGAGCATCACGGCACACATTACAATAGGTGGGTCTGGCATGTGATGTGGCATACCAGTGATGATGATTTGAGAGTATATCGTGCTGTTCCAAATAAAAGCTGTCGCCACGTGCTCGCGCAGGTATTGAAGCTGATTTTAACGAACTTAGCCAGTCTTCCATTTCGCGTCGAGATTCTGCGCACAATACCAGAGAACGAGTGGGTGTAATAACCTACAACGAAATAAATAAATTATTAAAAAAGTTTTGGAATCATTTTTGTGTTTTCTTTAATTCAATAATATTTAAGTGTTAGGCTTTTTGGAAAAATATTTCTCATATTATGCAAAAAAGTTTCTCCCAAGGTTATAGCACCTGGTAAGTTATACCTTGGTACATGTAACTTATTTAAGTGATAAATTTTAGTAGTGATTAACTTCGCAAAAGTCCTTATGATTATGTCAACTAATCCTTGACATCAGTGTAATTTATCAACTATGTTCAGCAGGCAGCGAACTTTAACAAGTGACAATACAGATGTTTGACTGCTATTTAGCCACTTGATTTGGTGTGGCTTATTTGGCCACGTGTCGTCTTGAAGGACAATGTTTGATGAATTACATGTGAAGGTAAATTTTATAATTTACTCATTCTTCTTAATGAGTAAATGAAACAATGAAATTACTGAACTTAATTTCAACTTCACTTCTGTTAGCATTAAATAAATAAAGCGAATACAATTTTAATCAGATAGCAGTGGTATGACGTTTGTGGCATTTGACTTAGTAAAAAGTAAGTAAATAGGAATTAAGCTTAACAAATTCATAATTAGAAGAGCAAAGGTAAAGCCGTTAAAATTTACTTTGTAATGAAAGCAAATTAATGAAATTTTTAGCAATTAGGATAAAATTTAATTTCAGACACTTTGGCCTTTTTAAAGGTTTATTAATTCTTTATTCTTAACGCATTGGTATTATAATTTAACTTTTTATAAAACACCTTTTAGAAAGTTTTCATTATTAAATGAATGAATAAGCAATCCCCTTAACAAATATAAACATAAGATGTCGCAGCTTTATGTTCCAAAGATCGTACACAGGGCTTCGAACCGAAACTGAACCACTGAAAACTGAAAAAAAAACCGATATTTTTGCTGGAATACTTGCATGAAGCATCTGTTAACTAAAGCATGTAATTTAGAACTAAAATGCAACAGACTATTAAATCAAAATAGGAGATAATTTATATATATACTATATATATAATATATAATAATATATAATAATATATAATAATATAA